TGAGATTTTATGTCGAGAAAACATACGATTCGTTTGAGTCCCAGCGGGTATTGAAAAACCACTGTCGAAGAATCCCCAAACCGCGCAACCGCGCTTTCTCTAAATGAGTACGAAAAGACCCAAACAGCGTGATAGCGCTTGTTTTATTTTATGTCGAGAAATACTGAGCAGCGCAATCGCATGCTTGGGACTCAAACGGTTAAAGTAGTAGTATCTGCCATGAGCTACTTCATCTTCTGGGTTAATATATGTGAATTCCTGGAAGCCTAATGAAGCCATTTCAAATCATACATGGACCTGGTTTAACTTCTCTGGCTTTTCCCCCCTCATGTATATGTGATACTGAGAGTGACCTTGTGGTGTCATTTCGGAGAAGGGGATTGGGAGTGGGGGGACACATTTTGTTGGCATTGCCAGTAAAGCCAAATATTGTTCATTTGGGATATGTATTACAGGTACCAGTCAAAGAAGAAATTGAATCTCTTCAAGTTAACACCCTTCATGGTCAATTCTATCCTTGCTGAAGGGAAAGGTGGATTCATAAGGGCCAAGCTAGTGTGTAAGACTTTAGAAAACTTCTTTGCCTCAGCTGATGATGAGCTGACTATTGACCATGTACCTATTTGGTGTAAGGACAGCCACGGACAGAGAGTCATGGTTGAACAGAGTGAAAAACTGGTGAGTATTGAAATATTGTTAGTATTAGGGATCTGGTGGTAAATGAGAAGAGTTGACATGATACAGTGTTAAATTTGTCTTTCATTTTTTCATAATTGCTGCCAGGAAGTAATGGTGGAGGGTGAGACTATAGGCTAATCGTGATAGCTGGGAGTTATAAAGTGTTTTGTTTGTGAAGAATACTCATGGACATCTCACTTAGTTCTCGCACTCGTTTTCCAATTTAGAAAATGAGGCACCGACCCAGGATTTATAGGAGTTTGTCACTGGGGCTGCTGGATGAATCTAAAGATTGGGAATCTCTTTTCTAATTTTTAACATGTTTTTTTTTCCCCAATCATTTGCCATTCTTTTTATGAATTAACTAGAGGCCTGGTGCACAAAATTTGTGCACAGGGTGGGGGGGTGTGTCCCTCAACCCACCCCGCACCCTCTCTAATCTGGGACCCCTCGGGGGATCTCCGACTGCTGGTTTAGGCCCGATCGGCAGTCGGACATCCCTCTCACAATCCAGGACTGCTGGCTCCTAACTGCTCACCTGCCTGCTTGCCTGATTGCCCCTAACTGCTTCTGCCTGCCAGCCTGATCACCCCCTAACTGCTCCCCTGCTGGCCTGATGGCCCCCAACTGCCCTCCCCAGCTGACTTGATCACCCACAATTGCCCTCCCCTGCCGTGACCTGCCTCCTTTGCTGGGACCCGCCTCCAGGCGGCTGAGACACCGGGACCGACCTCCTCCGCGCCATGTAGAGCCATGGGACCCCCAGGCCTCACCATGCAGAGTGACCACCGGGCCGTGCCTCCACTGTGCATGCAGCCATCTTGTGGTGGCCATCTTGTGACGACATCACGCAAGGGCGTGACGCCACCTAGGCTTTTATTATATAAGATTGTTAGTTATAAATCTAGAGACATGATCTAGCCTTTTCTAGTCCACCAGATTTTTTGTTGTCAGCAATGTTCTGTCACTGGGCTGTCGTGGAGCTGGAAGGAGATTAGGGAAGTGACTGCCACTCACTGAGCTGGGATGGTGGCTTTATTCTGATCTCTGCTCCTTATGTAGAAATGAAAGTGTGATTTCAGGGTGCTGTCTTTTCCAGGGTCTTAGGAGTTACCAATTACTTGTTTTCTAGAACAGTGTTCTTGAAGCAAGTCGCCTTTGGGACAATATGCGGAACCTGGGGGAATGCAAAGAAGAGGCTTACCATATGACTCATGATGGTATGTAAGTTTCCAAATCTTGCTGTTCAATGTAACTGCTTTAGTTATGAATTCTGACTGTTGCTACTCCCTTCTTTTAGGCTACTTGAAACTCTGGCAGTTGAGCAAGCCTTTGCTTGCCTCTTTTGACGCCATCTTTGTGGATGAGGCCCAGGACTGTACCCCAGGTAATAAACTATTCTGTACATCAGTAGTCTCAAATACTTAGAAACAATGTCATGATTATATAAGCGGACATGTATGTGAAATAAATTGATTATTCTCATTTGTCCTAAAGAAGAGGAGCAAGTGATATTTAGTTATTCAGAAAGCCTTTATTATTTGATTTTGGATTTCACCAGTTGTCCTTTCCCCCACCCAAGGCAGATTAATTTTCCTCTAAATGTTTTGCTAAAGTCACAGGTCATCAGATAATAGAGACCTAGACTCATGCTGAGTGGGAAAAGATGGTTAATTTAGAGTAAACAATTGGTGTTGTATACTTTTCAAGTGGCTAATCCTATCTAATAAAAGAGTAATATGCAAATTGACCATCACTCCAACACACAAGATGGCCACCCCATGTGGTCAAAGATGGCTGTCAGGGGAGAGTAGTTGTGGGTGATTAGGCCAGCAGGGGAGGGCAGTTAGGGGCGACCAGGCCAGCAGGGGAGGGCAGTTGGGGGTGACTGGGCTGGCAGGGGAGGGAAGTTAGGGGTGACTGGGCTGGCAGGGGAGGGCAGTTGGGGGTGACTGGGCCTGCAGGCGAGGGCAGTTCGGGGCTATCAGGCTGGCATGGAGGGCAGATATGGATGACGGGCCCAGCAGGGGAGCAGGTAGGCGTCTGTCAACTGACTGGCTAGCAGGCAAGGGAGATCACATGGCCTGCATGATGGATTAAGTG